TCTCTCTCCTCTCTCTCTCTCTCTCTCTCTCAAATTTATTTAGAAAATTTACTACGTTATCTAATTTCTATTTGTTAAAAATATTCATTTATTACAAAAGTATTTAATTTAATAATTTAAATTGAAACATCGCTTTATTAAACTTTCTATAATATTTGTCAACTGTTATGGTGAGCAATAGTTTTAACTTTTTTAATTTATTAATAGTTATATCTTGAAAGACTATAAAAATTAGTGTTTTTATAATAAAATGTTTGCCTATTACAGTATAATACTGTCAGAAAACTAAATAAAATAGTAAAAATAAATAACATATTTACCCAAATATTTGTCCCACTGTTGCATATTGAAGGGCATGGAAACCAGTTGAGTGACATTGTCTGACGACACAAATGATTGTGTAAACCATTGAGGTTTCAATTGTGAATATCGGAAGAATATTTGCTGCAAATATCTTAAATAGTAATCCTTTTGTCGCGCTATTTATCCAAATACAAAAGTATTGTTACATTGATTTCATTATTTTTAAAATTAAATTCTATTTTTAACACTAGATTAATTCTGTCAACAAATGTATTGGATTATATTAATGTATTTATTAGAAAACTTTTATGTGATTATAGTCTATTACTAATAGAGTACTTTACTTTAGTATACTTTAATTTTATAATATAAACACGCATTGTAAATTTAGAAAAGATTTATAATTTACAGTATATTATTTATGTCGCAAATAATATACAAAATAGATTTCAATGAAAATGTTAATAATAAACATATAAAAGATTTATAGTTTTGTATTAATATAAGAATGCAATGAAAGAATAGTAATAAAACTTTATTTGACGGCCAAACGGTTAGTAAAATTCATTTCAATCAATAGATTTTGAACATAAAAAGAAGTTGTATTTGACTTAAATTAATGACACATTCATTCAATTAAATACAAACAAATCTTCAAACTATTTGTACAAAAAATCTGTTTTCTATTGCATTGTTTGCTTATAAATTAAATATAATATAGAAACCAAAAACTATTCATCAGATTAATATTGTTAAACAGATTTCAAATTACAAGGACTTAAAAAATAGCAATCAATAAATACTAATGGCATCTAATTATGTCATTCAACAGCTATTCTACATTTCCAACGTTTATTCATTACTTTGAATTCATTACTTTTCACAACATATAAAATCAAAAATCAAAATAATTGAATTAAACATTAAAATCAATTACAGTACATATAATAAGTAAGCCTCTATTTTTCGGGAATTTCCTCAAATTCGGACGGGAATCGGGAATATAAAATGTTCAAATTTGTAAATAAAATCTGCAACAAAAACTTATAAAATTAATCATGTAAAGTGAAATTATTCGATATTTCTATAACTTAAAAATGAAACATAAATTGTATTAAAATAAAATTCATAATATTAATCAGTCAATTAACAATAGATTAATATTTCAAATTCTAATATTCGACAATTTTTGCTAATTTACATTTGTTGAAATATATGCGTTGATGAAATAACAACAAACTTTTACTATCGCCATCATAAATTCAAGAATTGTATCGTAATTAAAACAATTTCAATTTTAAAGACTAACATTTATTAGTTTTTATCTAAATGCACAAAATTCTTCAATATAACAGAGTCTATCGGACAAATCCGGCACATAATTAGACTGGCCTGATGAGTTTATGACAATTCTGGATTTTGGGCAAAAATGAGACCGATTATACTGGATTCCTGGACATTTTACTAATTTTAGCTATAGTATAGGACGCGTCCATAGACTTAATGTTTAAAATATTTTTCATATTCTGAACAGGGCATCTAATTCCGGGACAATCCAGGCCATTTCTGGACATCTGGTAAGTCTACACACAATAAACTATTCGATAGTTTTCGCAAAATGTGCCAAAATCGGGAAATTTCAGGGAAAATTTTGAAGGCTTTATTACTATTGAGACCAAGTGCTGATCATTTAAATAACTAAATTGATTGAGAATTGCCGAAAAATAGAGGCTTTAATAATGCGCTGCTCAATAACAAACCTCTTCCTTTTCTAATCACAAAAGCATTGGTAGGCTTTCGCGCCCACTCACAGGCTCTGCGAGTGATTGGCATTCGAGAGCCATCGAGACATAGAAACTGGTAATTGTCTCGTTCTTCGGGTCGCGTCTTAAAGTAATGTTCGGTCGTTTCAATGGTAGTGAAGGCCACCTGTCCCTCACCTTCCATCAGACACTTTATGGCCCCCTCTTCGCCAGCGTATGGATCTCTTTCTGAACACATTTGTGGATCTTTGCAAAGACTGCAGAGGTTTGGGTGACGTCTCTCTATAGATAGCATACAAATTAGAAAATTATTAT